TTTTGAGTAGAGTAACTAATAATCTGTAGTTGTGGTATTTTGCATTTTCAAAGCACTATATAAATATTAAGTTTCACAATTGTTTGTAAAGTAAGCAAGTATAATTCCCCTTTTTGAGGATGTGGAAACAGATACAGAAAGGTTTTAGGTTGTGCTCTGTCGCATCAGTGCCCAAACCAGAGTTAAAGTAAGTTTGAATCCTATATCCTTTCAGTGATATCCGACCATACTATCCATTTTACTGTAAATGCTATACAAATATTTTTGTTACTCCGTGTTTTCTCAACTTTGTTTCTCATTTCATCTCAAACCATACAGATATTTCATTATTTGCTAAAGCTGTAACTAATAACCTATTGACTTTTCTGTTGAGTAGTAAATCCTAACTACTTTGAGCAGATGCCTTGGAACTTCAATAGATGATATGCTTAATGTAAAAATACAAAAACCCAGGTATTAATTTAACAAAGTACCTTTAATAGAAATGTATAAAAACATAAATTTTTACTGATTTAGTAAATGCAGCTACCAAATGAGACTTTCGAAGTCTGTTCTTTCCGAAAAAGCTGTGGATATAATAGTGTTTATTTTTATTTCTGGAAACTGGACTTCAAATCTTCAGTGAGGTCTTAGTAGATTTCCAGAATTAATCTCTCTGTTAGCTTAGTTTGAGCCACATGGAACAAGTTACACAAATTGTCAAGAAATTGCTCTGGTTTCCTGTTTGCTTGTGAAAGCAAACTCGGGTGCTTGACTTAGATTTAAAAAGCCATGTATGGTTTGGCAATGGTATCTGAGAGGGCATTCCAATACTGAAGATCAGTTGAAGTACTAGAGCTAATGGTTCCTTCAATTTAACATTGTGGGCTTGTATTGGGGCATTATGAGTAAGGCCCAGCCGAATTCACAGTTCATGTAGGTCTGTTTCACAGTCCTAGAATTTTTAAAATTATAAATGTAATCATTTCAGCTCTTTAAATCTGAAAATTCATAGTGTTGTAACTGTAGACACCCTGACCCACAAAGGAGTTGGGAAGGGGTTGCAACCTTAGCAGTTCTGCAACCACAATTATCTTTACTTCTGCACTGTTGCTTATGGCGGTGTTATATTCAGAGCTGTTCAGCTGGAAAGTTGGTGTCCAGCTGCCCAACTCTGAAGTCAGTGCAGAACTAAGGATAGCAATACCATGACCCTTCTGAAATAATCTTGTGATGTTCCTTTCTCTAACTCACTTTTGGGTCAGAATCCTCAATTTGAGAAATCCTGGTCTCCCTTATGAAATATGAATAGTACAGGGTAATAGCACACGAGATTAGATTTCATAGTTTGTAATGCATTTTTTGTGGGTTTGCATTGGTAGGGCTTTAATCCCAAAGGACCTTCCAGCTCTGGCATTCTATCTTACCACTAGTTTGACAAAACTTTAAGCCTTAAGACCGGCCTCCTCCCAGGCATTTGCCTATGGGTGAGACATGTAATACTATATTGGATGAGTTTTCCAATGGTCACAACAATAAGCACTTTTCAAAATCCTACCCCAGATCAAATGACTTACAAGCTCAAGTCCCATTGGACTTTAGTGGGACTTTGGGTGCTCTTGAAAAATGTTATCACAGTCAAGTTACTTGTTAGTTTTTCATATTAGGTAGGACCCAGTGACAGTGATGTGTACTTGTGTTAGTGAATAAATGGGGTGAGGTTCTTCCCACCCTTATCTCTTCTATTTCTTTACTTTATAGAATCAGTGAAGACTGGTTGTGACAAATTATGTTCTTTCAGGGTTATTACTAGGGATGTTAGATATCATGTAATTGAATAGTCATGTAACCGCATGAAATCTTAGCAGTTACATGACTATATAATAGTCCCTAGGGGTGGGGTCCGCAGCCAGTGTGCTCCCAGCCCCACTTCCAGGGAACTCCCTGCCACCCCACACTCCTGTATCAGAGGCAGAAGCCCAGGGTGGCTGGTGGAGACAGTCTGCCTGGGGAGCCAGTTTAAAAACCAGCTCTCCTCACAGACGAGCTGCCTGCCATTCTGATAGAGAGGCAGCACGCGGGGTGGCAGCAGCCCCTGACCATGGGGGGTCCAAGCCCAGGCTCACCATGGACAGATGCTGCTCAATACATATTACTTCTTGTATGGGATGCAGAGCAGCCTCTGTCTAAGGGAAGCTTGGACCCCCCTGCGGATAGAGGCTGCTTCGCAGTAACCTCTCCTGCCCCTCATGCTGCTGCCTCGGGGAGGGCAGGTGGCACAACGGAGCTTTTAAGCCAGCTCCCCCCAGCACCAATTCCTTCCTGTCCCCCCTCACTGACTCTATAGGAGGCAACAAGTGGGGGGCAGGCAGGTCCACAGAGGCAATACGCACAGGGAGCTGGCTTGAAAGCTAGCCCCCCTCACCCTATTAGAGGCAATAGTGCTGGGGCAGGGGGAGAGGCGGATCCGGTGCTCCTGGGGAGCCTGCTTTAAAGCCTCTGGCAGCAAGGGCAGGGGCAGCGGGTGAAGTCAATAGGATTAACTAACTTAATCCTTTACTCAAGGTTAAAATCCCTATCTTGGATCTCACAATTGTAATTTCTTTACCTGTGAAGCACTGGGTAGGGAATGCGGGGCCACATAGGATTAGAGATATGCCTGAGTGAGGCACAGAGACATGGGGATGGCACAGACATGCCTGACTGAATAGGAGAGGCTACAGATCTGCATGGGGGAAGCTCCGTGAGAATTCCTCCTCACCTATTGCCCCCAAAAAACCCGTTCCATATTTTTCCCACCTATACCCAACAACCCTCCCAGTTCACACCCAGCAATTGCTTCCCTCTTCCTCAGCCCCTCCATTACCCATTAGCCCCATAAGCCTTTGCACTGCTTTTGAGGGGAGTGAGAAATATGGTTCTATACTGTAGTTTAAATGATTTATTATTCAGACTTATGTATAATCTTTGTCTTATGCTGTTATAGACATACTTGCTGACAGATATTTTTGAAATAAATTATCAAAACAACTGAACCTGGTGTGATTTTTTTTTTAATTTGTCAAAATAACATGCAGAATTTTGCAGAATATTAAAATATTATGTGCAGAATTTTTAATATTTTGGTACAGAATTCCCCCAGCAGTAGCCAATAACAAAATGGACAGTGACAAAAAATGACCGATAAAATCCAAGGTGGTAGAATTAAAGTCCTGACCATGTTTACTTCCGGTAATATCTACTTCTAACAAGCCTTAGATTATTGTTCCCCAAACCATGGTGTGCGTTGCCTGTACAGAAACATAGGGGAATATTCAGGAGGTGGCTTAGTGGGGCCAAGTATTGTTGAGACCTCACCTGAAGTATTGTATACAGTTTTGGGTGCTGTGCTTTAAGGAAGATGTGGACAAAATGAACAGAACCTGGAAGAAAGCTATAAAAGTGATGTTTAAGAAACCTGACCCATGAAAAAAGGTATAAAATAGTCATACATTTTTAGGCTTGAGGAAAAAGACTGGTAAAAGTCTTTAAATATGTATTGCAGTCTGTTTATAAAGAGAATGATTATCAATTGTTTATATTCACTAGAGGTAGGACAAGAAGTAATTGGCTTAATCTGCAGCAAGGGAGACTTAGGTTAGATATTAGAAAGAACTTTCTAACTATCAGGATAATTAAATACTATAATAGGTTTCCTTCCAAGGAAGGTTGTAAAATTCCTGTTATGGGAGGTTTTTAAGAACCGACTAGATGTTTCAATGTTTCTCAGACTGGGGTCTGTGGACCCCGGCGGGGGGGGGGGGGGGCGGCCTGGCTGATGAACTCCTTTCCCCCACTACTGATGTCCTCTTCACATAGGGGAACATCTGTACTGCAGCATGCAGGAGGTGCTTAAGGGGTTGCCAGTCTTCCCAGTTTCACTGGGGGGCTCTGTTGGAGGCTTCTGAAACCAAACTGGGAAACTTTAGGCCACTAAAAGTCTGGCAGTGCCTTGGAATAAAGGCAAGTGCTCTGTCTGCCCTCCGCCTTCTCCACTCCTAAAGTGGTTGTGGTATGTCCTGGGGGGAGGGGAAGTCTCGTTTGCCACCCCACCCTAAGTGCTGATTACACAGCTCACATTGGTGGGGAATTGTAGCCAGTGGGATCTGTGGGGTTGGTATCTCCTTCCCCAAGGGCCAGAGGGACATACTGGCTGCTTCCAGGATCAGTGTGCTGCCAGGGCAGGCAGGGATCTTGCCTGAGGGAAGGGCCACCAATCCAGAAATTGCACTCCAAACTTCCTGCTGCAGCCCTGAGCCCACTCCCAAATTCCCTCCTAGATACCTCAACCAAGCTATTTCCCTAGGCTCAGCCTGGAGCCCCCTCCCACACTGTCAACCCCTTAGCTCCAGCCCTCAGCACGCAGCCCAACTGCGAAGGGGTGGAGTGCGGGCAGGACTTGGAGGTCCACAAAAAAATTTAAATCAAAATGGGGAGTTCCTCAGGTTACTAAAGTTTGAGAATTGCTGGATTAGACAAACAATTGTCAGAAGTAAGCTAGGTAGACTTGATCTTGCCTCAGCATGGGGGTAGGGACCTAGAATCCTAGATGACCTTTCATGGGCCCTTCAGCCCTACATTTCTGTTTCTATCTTATACTTTTAAAATAACATGTAATTGAATAGTCATCATATTTTTCTTGGATACAAAATAGTGTTGCTTGTTCCCCATAAGTAACTTTTTTGGTTTTTAGCTGTTTCTAAATTGCTGCCTCTATGCACTAGAGAATTCTACAGCTTTCCAATAGTATGTGTGTGAGCTCCACCTAATGGAAGTCTTATTCATATATGCTTGTTACATTACAGTACTTGGAACAATTCCACTAAAATGTAGTGTTAATTTATCATGTCTTATCTTTTCGATGTAGAATACAGAAATCCATAGAAACTAGTATGTGTTATCTTTTTAAAAGTTAGCTAGGAAAGTAAGATATCTCAGTAGAATGTCAGTTTTCATAACATGTCCTCGTTTTTTATTTATAGGAACATCATCTTCAGCGAGCTATCTCTGCACAACAGGTATATGGAGAGAAGAGGGATAATATGGTTATACCAGTTCCAGAGGCAGAAAGTAATATCGCTTATTATGAATCTATATATCCTGGGGAATTTAAGATGCCAAAGCAGCTCATTCACATACAGCGTAAGTATAAATACTTTTTAAATGTATGTGAAAGCCTATATCTAAAATGTTGTTATACTGGTAACATCAATTGCCCTGTTGATATTTCCTTTCAAGGGTTAATTTTAACACAGCATCTTTAGATGTAAGCTTTGTTATGTAAGGGTACTAGTCAGTTCTTATTCAGGATCAAACTCTTGTTGAAGTTGATAGGACTCCTGCCTGACTGTGAGGATGGTGTTAATTTTTAATTTTAGGAATAACAGTTCCCCATCTCACCCCCCTCCAATATCAGTTTAGATTTTCTAATTATAGTTCCATAGAGATGTCTAGTCTTCTGGCCCAGAAGAGCCATGGCCACAGTCTTGAATATGACTGGTATTTGGAAAATGTTATGAAAAATAGAATTCATAGGGCCTTATCACTCGATTCAAATGTGGTGGTGGTAGGGTGGGTTGGAGGAGGCAAGCAGAAAAAGAAGTGATACCTACCACCCTTCAGTTAAATGCATATGTTTACCTATAAGGTACAGATTCTAAAATTCTTTATGGTATGCTTCTAGATGCCTAGATCGCTCACTTGGGTGCTATTGCTTGTGTTCATCTTTGTCTGGCTAGAAGATTAGAACTGTTCCTTTTGGTTGTGGACTTCACCACAGTTATCACTTCATTTGGGACAATACTTGAAAACATCCCAGATGTTCTTGCTAATGTGGAATACAATTGTATGCTTTAATTAGAGATATCTTGAGCACAACACCTGTGCCCTGTAAATTGAGTAGACTCCCAGTTTATTTCTGGCTAAAAGATTGCGATTGATTTACAATCCTCTTGAGAATCCTGACTACTTCTTTGACCATTTATTTCCTCATGCTCTATCCTGATAGTGGAGGTCAGATGAAGTTCTTGAGCTGACTGCTCTGTAAACAAAGATAGTTTCAAAATGCTATCTCCATCAAAAGTTAGATTTATCATAAAGAGTAGATTGGATGAGTAATTAAAGATCATGCCAGACTAGCCTATTTTTATTCATTTATTTTGTTAGTATTTTATTTAAGATATTAAGGTTATTAATGAGGGGAAGTTGGTGATACTAATCTAGTCATCTGTGAAACATTTTGCTGAAATACCACGTGTAGTTGGGATGAAATTATTCTTAGGCCATGTCTTCACTCCTGGGAAGATTGACACTGTTTCAGTTGATCTTCCATAGTTTGATTTAGCTGGTTCAGTAGAGACCCACTAAATCACTCAGAGGGCACAATACCACCTCTCTCCATCTCCACCCTTCCCATACACCCCCACGTCCCCACCAGTGGCCAGTACTCCTGCAAGGAGTAAGGGAAGCTGACAGGAGTATTTGCTCTCATTGGCCGTCTTCTGTGGGGACGGCAAGGAAACTCAAATCAAGGTACATTGACTCCAGCTACATAAATAACATGGCTGGAATTCCGTGTTTTAATTTGATCTTCCCCTTTAGTGTAGATCTGATTTTAGACTGGGCTATAGGAAGTATACTGGATAGTAAACAGTAAGCAGTTGAATTACTTAAGTATTCAGTTTCTAATGTCCTCTTCTGGTAACATCTGTTTGCATTGTGTCAGTGCTTCTGTTAATTTTTTTTCTTTTTTATTTCTGCTAACTGTAAGTATATAAAGTACTTTTGTATCTAGGTTTAATAAAAGGATTGTGTAGAAAACTCTGTTTAGTGATTGATTTTTTTTTTTCCCCCCCCAAACTAAACCCACATGTTCTATCTTGCTCTCCAAACCAGAAAAATATAGCCTACAATCCCAGACACTTTTATCATCCGGGGGGAGGAGGGGGGAAAAAACCTTCCATTGTACTCCATGTTAACATTCACTGTATTGTTTAGCTTTTAGTTTGGATGCTGAACAGCCTGATTATGACTTGGATTCAGAAGATGAGGCCTTTGTGAATAAGTTGAAGAAAAGAATGGACATTTCTCCTTTGCAGTTTGAAGAGATGATAGATAGGCTAGAAAAGGGCAGTGGTCAGCAGGTACACTATTTCTAATTAAAAAAAAAAAAGCAACATATGAAAGTTTTTTTTTGGGGGGGGAAGGGTTGTTTTGTTTTTGTTGTAACACATTGGGTTTTACGTTTAGCCAGTCAGCCTGCAGGAGGCCAAACTGTTGCTGAAGGAAGATGATGAATTAATTAAAGAAGTGTATGAGTACTGGATTAAAAAGAGGAAAAACTGTCGCGGTCCTTCACTTATCCCAGCAGTAAAACAAGAGAAACGAGATGGTTCCAGCACAAATGATCCTTATGTTGCTTTTAGAAGGCGGACAGAAAAGATGCAGACTCGAAAAGTGAGTGGATATAAAATCTGACACTTTCTTGTATTCAAGCATTACTAAGCCAATTAAACTTTCAATACTAAATCTTGAAAGGGGGGGGGAATCACTTTTTCTCTGCTAGTTACATCACTCAAATGAAATCATATTGGTTTTTGTTTTTTTTGTTATAGGACGTGACAAAATCCAATAATAATAATAATGCAGGTGACTTGTAACTTGCTATATATGTAATATTCTCTGTACTTTGACATGGCAAAATGCTTGATACGAATTCATTATAGAAATTGAACTTAATTAAAAATTTCTTGTTATCCACAGAATCGAAAGAATGATGAAGCGTCTTATGAAAAGATGCTTAAGCTGCGTCGAGATCTGAGTCGTGCAGTGACTATCTTAGAGATGATAAAAAGAAGGGAAAAAAGCAAGAGGGAGTTGTTGCATTTAACACTGGAAATTATGGAAAAGAGGTAGGGTACATCAAGACATTTGGTATTATTCATGTTCTTCCATAAACAATAATAAAAATCTTTTTTACTTACGTAAACCTCTTCTAAAAAAACCTACTTTTTGTGCTTGCTGATTTTGTAATAGTATAGCATGCTTTCATATTTTACAACTGTAAAATTCCTTTCCTGTTTGAAGGTATAGTCTAATCTCCATCTGGTCACTTTTTTGTTCTGTCAGTTTTGTTTTTGGTTTTGGTTTCTTTCATTGTGAACAAATCTAAAAACAGGAGACTTTACAAAAATGATAGGTAAATTTATTATGAACATAAACATAGCTGTACAGGATGAAACCCTTGGTTGTCCATATAGCCCAGTGTCCTGTCTTTCAACAGTGGCTAGAGCTAGATGCTTCAAAAAGAAAGAACAGAGCAATTTCATAAGATCTTTTTCACAGTCATTCAGTGCCAACTTCTGGCAGTTGGAGGTTTAGGAACACCCAGATCACGGGATTTCCTCCTTGACCATGGCTAATACCTATTAGTGGACTTAACCCACATGAAATTATCTAGTTGTAATGAAATTGTGCTAGTTATATTTTTGGACTTCATAACAACCACTGGCAATGAGCTCCATAGGTTGACACTGCATTGCAACAAAGTACTTTTTTATGGTTGTTTTAAACCTGCTGTCTGTCAATGCAAGAATTGTGTGTCATCTAGTGAAATTCTGTAAAGGGGTAAATAACTGTTGTTCCTTTTCTCCATATCTGTAATGATCTCTCTGTAGTTTTTCTTTTATAAGCTGAATATATCCAGTCTTTTAATTTCTTCCCATACGAAAGTTGTTTCATACCCTTATCACACGTTGGTTTTTTTTCCAATTCTTATCTCTTTTGAACTGCATGCAGTATTCAAGGTGTGGACATACCATGCACCACATTGTGATATTTTCTATTTTATGATCTATACCCGTGGTCACCAACCCATTGATCGTGATCGACTGGTCGATCGCGAGGCGTTCGGGCAAACCCACCCCCCATTTTCCACCCACCCCCGAGAAGCCCCACTACCTACCTTCAGTGTAATGCTGGCTTCCCGCGAGGTGGACGGAAGTCCTGTCTGAAGCTCACGTCACTTCCGGGGGGTTCCAGAAGTGCGCGGGCTGGTCCCCTCCCACAGCTCTGTTGTGTGATGGGGGAGGGGGCATCGGCCCTGGAGAAGGAGTGCGAAGGCTTCCCTGTGCCGCTGGCGCCGGAGGGTTAAGTTGAGCGCAGGGGTTGGCCCCGGGATTTGGCCGCGCTGCAGGAGGGGAGGGAGTTGGCCGGGCTGGGCCGCACCGTGGGAGGGGGGCTTGACCCCGGGGCAGGCGCCCGCGGGGGGTGGCCATGCTGCAGGAGGGGGTTGGCCCCGGGGCAGCGGTTGGCCGCGCTGTGGGAGGGGAGGGGCTGGGCCTCACTGTGCTGCAGGATGGGGGTTTGGCCAT